CCCCTCCCGGGGTCCCCTTGTGTCCCCTCCCGGGGCCCCCCTGCGCTCCCCCAGCTCCCCAGCCCTCCCTGCTCCATCCCGGGCTCCCCCTGCCCCAGTCCCCCGCTCCGTCTGACCCTCTCCCCCACAGATGGCCGGAGAACTGACGGACAAGAAGGACCGGGACGCATCCCCCATCAAGGAGGAGAGGAAGCGCTCCCGCTCCCCGGATAGGGACCGGGAGCGCGACCGGGAGCGCGACCGGGACCGCAAGGGTTCCCCCTCCAAGGACAGGAAGCGGCACCGCTCCCGGGACAGGAGACGGGGCAGCCGGGCGCGGGGCCCCCCCCCGGCCCCGGGGGCCGGGAGGGGGGGGGGGGGGGGAGGCCTGGCACTGCCACCGTGCTGTGCCCTGTCCTAGAGGTCCTTTGGCCACCCGAGGATGCGGCCGGGAGGCGCCCCCGCTCCGGGGACAGGGGGGGGGCCAGCCGGTCGCGGTCCCGCTCCCGGTCCAAGTCGCCTGAGAGGTGAGGGGTGTTAGAGGGGGCTCCCCGGCTTTTTGGGGAAGAGCTCTCCCGCTCTCACCTGTCCGTAACGGCCCCACGAAGGTGTGGGGGCGGGTGGTTGGGCTGGGACCACGCCGTGACTGCCCTGCTCTGCAGGGATCGCCGGCACAAAGAGCGCGACCGAGACCGGAGCAAGAAGGACCGGGACCGGGAGAAGGATGGGCACCGGCGGGATAAGGACAGGAAGCGGTCGAGGTGAGGCTCCTCTCTTTTCGGGGTGTCCCTGGTCTCCCATGAGCGCCCCGGTGCTGTTTCCCGTAGGAAGCCTTGTCCTGGGTGAGAGCGGGATTCCCGCGTCGGCGGGGACAGGGTGACCCTGGGGCTGCGTTCGGTGCCTGATTCCTCTTTGTTTTGCTGGGAAGCTTGTCCCCGAGCAGGGGCAAGGACTCAAAGTCCCGGAAGGAGCGGGACTCGCGGAAAGCGGAGGAGGAGGAGGAGAACGCTCTGAAGAAGGAGAAGGTGAGGAGGGGGCGGAGGGGGCTTGGCTGCGAACGGCTCCCGGGGGGGAATCGCTCTGGCGAGGCAAAGGGTCCCCGTTGGGGGCTGCTAACGGCCTGGCCCCGCGTTCGCAGGCCCAGCCCCTGTCCCTGGAGGAGCTGCTGGCCAAGAAGAAGGCTGAAGAGGAGGCGGAAGCCAAGGTAGGAGCAGAAACCCTCTCCCCGCATCGGGGCTCTCCCGTACCATGCCTGCAGTAGGGGATGGATGTCTGGGAGGGGGTCCTGTCCTGGGACAGCCCCGGCAGCGAGGGGTCGCTGCCGGGCCCCGTGTGAGCTGTCTTCTCTCCTGCCCCAGCCCAAGTTCCTGTCCAAGGCGGAGCGGGAGGCCGAGGCCTTGCGGCGGCGGCAGCAGGAGGTGGAGGAGCGGCAGCGGCTGCTGGAGGAGGAGAGGAAGAAGAGGAAGCAGTTCCAGGAGATGGGGAGGAAGATGCTGGGTAAGGTGTCGTCCCCACCGCGGTCTGCCTGGCTGCGAGGGGCTGAGGCAGGACCCCCTGAAGCCCCCCGGCCCTGGGGGGGGCTGCTTGGCTCTGAGACCCTCCCCCTGCTCCCCAGAAGACCCCCAGGAGCGTGAGCGCAGGGAGCGCCGCGAGCGCATGGAGCGGGAGACCAACGGCACGGAGGACGAGGAGGGCAGGCAGAAGATCCGGGAGGAGAAAGACAAGAGCAAAGAGCTCCACGCCATCAAGGTAGCGCTGGGGGCCGGGCTGGGGCGCCAATGGGGGCCGGGGGCGCCGGGTTCCCTCCCCGCTGATCTCCCGCCCGCAGGAGCGTTACTTGGGGGGAGTGAAGAAGCGGAGACGCACGCGGCACCTGAACGACCGCAAGTTTGTCTTCGAGTGGGATGCATCGGAAGACACGTCCATTGATTACAACCCCCTGTGAGTGATGGGGTGCCCCTGGGGGTGGGGGTGCCCCTGGGGGTGCTCCTGGGGGTGCGGGGCAGCCCCAGCCCTGCCCCTGACGCCCCCGCCCCGCTCTAGGTACAAGGAGCGGCACCAAGTGCAGCTGCTGGGCCGGGGCTTTATCGCGGGAATCGACCTGAAGCAGCAGAAACGGGAACAGTCGCGCTTCTACGGAGACCTGATGGAGAAGAGGCGGACGCTGGAGGAGAAGGAGCAGGAAGAGTGAGCGCACCTGGGGGGAGCTGGCGGGGTCCCGAGGGGCGTCTGGGGCGCTGCCTGCCTCTGCGCGGCCGGGGTGCGGAGCTGGGGGGTGGCTCTGGGCTGCAGGACGTCCTCCGGGTGGGTGGCAGCTCGATTCCAGCCTCCCCAAAGCCGCGGGGTGAGCCCTGTCCCCTTCCTCGTCCCCCATCCAGGGCCCGGCTGCGGAAGCTGCGGAAGAAGGAGGCCAAGCAGCGCTGGGACGACCGGCACTGGTCCCAGAAGAAGCTGGATGAGATGACAGACAGGGACTGGCGTATTTTCCGCGAGGACTACAGCATCACCACCAAGGGGGGCAAGATCCCCAACCCCATCCGCTCCTGGAAGGACTCCTCCCTGCCCCCCCACATCCTGCGGGGGAGCTGGGTGGAGGGGAAAGGGGGGTCTTCGGGGGGGCGAGGAGGGGAAGTTCTGCTCCCAAACCTGCCGCTCCCCTCGCCAGGAGCCCACCCCCATCCAGCGCCAGGCGATCCCCATTGGCCTGCAGAACCGCGACATCATCGGCGTGGCCGAAACCGGCAGCGGCAAAACCGCGGCTTTCCTCATCCCGCTGCTGGTGTGGATCACCACCCTGCCCAAGATCGATCGGTAGGGGGGCCGGGGCGGGGCGGCAGGGTGACGCCGCGGAGGGGGGGATGTGTGGCACCGTGGGTGACGCGGCCGTGCCTGGCCACGCTACAGGATTGAAGAGTCGGACCAGGGTCCCTATGCCATCATCCTGGCCCCCACCCGAGAGCTGGCCCAGCAGATCGAGGAGGAAACCATCAAGTTTGGGAAGCCGCTGGGCATCCGCACGGTGGCCGTGATCGGAGGCATCTCCCGCGAGGACCAAGGCTTCCGCCTCCGCATGGGCTGCGAGGTGAGCGTCAGCGCCGGGGAGGGTGGCGGGGGGACCTGGGAGGCGCCGTTCAGCCCCAGGCTGCGGACCCCAACCCTCCTGGTCCCCCAGATCGTCATCGCCACGCCGGGACGTCTCATCGACGTGCTGGAGAACCGGTACCTGGTGCTGAGCCGCTGCACCTACGTGGTGCTGGACGAGGCGGATCGGATGATCGACATGGGCTTCGAGCCCGACGTACAGAAGATCCTGGAGCACATGCCCGTCACCAACCAAAAACCCGACACCGACGAGGCCGAGGACCCCGAGAAGATGTTGGCCAACTTCGAGTCGGGGAAACACAAGTACAGACAGGTGGGTGCAGGCGGGAGAGCCGGGGCGGCGGCGTGGGTGCTCCCGCGGGGCTGAGCGCGCTCCGCGGGGTGGAGAGGGGACAACCTGGGGCTTTGGGGAACGGGCCAAGGAGCGCAGCCGCGTTCCTGCCCCGCAGGGGCCGTTGCTCACTGCCCCCTTCCCTCACAGACCGTCATGTTCACGGCCACCATGCCGCCAGCGGTGGAGCGCCTGGCCCGCAGCTACCTCCGTCGTCCGGCCGTGGTCTACATCGGCTCCGCCGGCAAACCCCACGAGCGGGTGGAGCAGAAGGTCTTCCTCATGTCGGAGTCGGAGAAGAGGTGCAGAGGGGGCCGCCGGGGCGGGGAGGAGGGGCCTTGGGGGTGGTCTGGGGCGTTTGAGGGTGAGGGAGCCCTGGGAGGGGGACCCTGGAGAGCGGAGGGGCTCCGGCGGGGCACCTCAGCCTCTCCTTGCCCAACTGTCCTCCTCCCCAACAGGAAGAAGCTGTTAGCCATCCTGGAGCAGGGCTTCGACCCGCCCATCATCATCTTCGTCAACCAGAAGAAGGGCTGCGACGTGCTGGCCAAGTCCCTGGAGAAGATGGGGGTGAGTCCGGGCTGAGCCCGAGCCCCTCGGCGTGGGCTGCGGCGGGGG